TACTCTCCTCTTTTCTAAGCAGAATAGCCCAAGTCTTTTCAAATCCCTAGGTTTTTTTGCCCTTTTCTGAACCTTTTCCAATACCAATATATCTTTTTTGAGATGAGGCGACCACTTCTGCATGCAATATTCAAGATGTGGGCATACCATGGTTTTATATAGAGGCAATAAGATATTTTCTGTCTTATTCGCTATCCCTTTCGTAATGAATGCTAACATTCTATTTGCTTTTTTGACTGCCACTGCACATTGAGTGGATGTTTTCAGAGAACTATCCACAATGATTCCAAAATCTCTCTCTTGAGTAGTTGTAGCCAAATTAGTCCCCATCATATTGGATATACAGTTGGGATGTTTTCTAATGTGCATTACTTTACATTTATCAACATTAAATTTCATTTGCCATTTTGTTGCCCAATCCCTTAGCTTGGTGAGATCTTTTTGAAGCTCTTCAGTCTGCTTTGGTCTTAACGGTCTTGAGCAGTTTGGTATTACCTGCAAATTTTGCCACCTTATTGTTAACCCCTTTCTCTAGATCATTTATAAATAAGTTGAATAGGATGCATCCTAGCACAGACCCTAGTTACCTCTCTCCACTTGGAAAACTTACCATTTATTCCTAGCTGGTGGTTCCTGTCTTTTAACCAGTTATCAATCCAAAAACAAACCTTCCCTCTTATCCCATGACAGCTTACTTTACTTAAGAACGTTTGATGAGGGACCTTGTCAAAGGCTTTCTGGAAATCTAAGTATACTATATCCACTGGATCCCCCCCAGCCACATATTTGTTGATCCCTACACATTCCAACACGTGACTTGTATGGAAAAAAAATCTGTGCCATATATAGGGATGTGAACAGGTAACTGGTAAGCATCACCCTAAGGCTCCGTCTACACTGGCAGCTTCTTGAGGAAGAACAGCTGTTCTTCCACAAAAACTTGCCAGCTGTCTGCCCTGCACAAGTATTCTTCCATAAGTAAATTTACAGTATAGTGTTGTAAACAGGGCTTCTTATGGAAGAGTTATTCCTCTCCCCACAAGGAATAAGCTTGCTTGCGCAAGAGCTCTTTCAGAAGAGGGCAGTGTAGACAGGCAACATGAATTTCTTGCTCAAGGAGTCCCTATGGTTAAAATGGCCATCAGAGCTTTCTTGCGGAAGAGAGCATCTACGCTGCCACGGATGCTCTTGCGCAAAAGCAAGACAGGGTAGACACTCTCTTGTGGAAGAGTTCTTGCACAAGAAGCTTCCAGTGTAGACATAACCTTACTGTGTGATGCTTAACCATTACTCGCTAACTAGTAGCTCTGGGAGCCACCATGGGCAGAGGGCTGCTCTCACCAGGCCCCCTGCACAGGGCCAGCAGAAACTCCCTACCTCAGGCTGAAGCAGCCCCCGCTGCCAGAGGTAGGGGCTGCTGTGGCTGGACTAAAGCAGCCCCTGCCCAGGTAGGCTGGAGTGGCCCCTACCCCACCCTTCTGTTTAAATCTGTTAACAGATTAAATGGAATTTTATATCCCTAATGCCCTATCCACATCATTCTAGAACTTGTGTCTAATATAGATGGAAGAGACATTTTCACAGACCTTTACTTAAAATCTAGGAGATGGGTGTGGCATACCACAGAGGGTTTTTTTTTTTCCCATTGAAATTTCCTTTGTGCATATCTAAAACAGAAAAAAAACTATGCAGCATTTTAGGGGAGGCAGTTTAGGCACTGACTCTAGCTGCTGTCTTCCTTGCCAATCAAAACCAACAGGGCAAGTCAGAAAGGAACAAAGGAAGAAGGGATAAACAACATAGATGATACTTATCCAGATCTCTGCTGGTTGTGATTTCTGCTCATCATTTATTTTATTTAGTTTTATTTTATATCCAGGGTGTTTATCTCCTGCAAAAATTAGGCTGTTAATGTGGCTGATGGCATTTAAACGAGCTGCAGAAGTATTAGCTTCCTCATATACAAAGATTGATTTCACCTCCCTGACAGTTACTAACTCCCAAAGACAAGCAAAACGTTTGAGAAAACATGATGCCTCATGCAGGTGACAAGGATGATATCTGGAAATATAAAATATGTTGCTGGTAGAAGGAAGATATTGAAGCTAAGACATATGATTGGCAGAGACCAGGGCTGAGATTTTCAAAAGTACCTGGCAGATTTATCAGAGGTGCCCAAGGATCAGACAACAATGGGACCTCGTTGTGCTAGGCACTGTACAGAAACAGAGTAAATGGCCCCTGCCCTTATGAGCTTACAATCTAAACAGATGAGAAAGGGAGAGGATTAGTTCAGCCAAACAGTCAGGGAAGAGATGAAAAAGGCATATCAGGACGGTAGAAAATTCTTTGAATGGCCAAAGGTCCCTTCTTGAATTCCTCCTGCCCTTACCACGCTGGCTTCTCTCTGTAGTTCCTTCCCCTCTCCCTCTCCCCCCCCCCGTCAGAAGAATGGAAGGGAAGAGCAGTTCAAACTAGTGCCTCTAGCCTGTGGGGAGGAGGAGATAAGAAAGGGAGGTTCCCCTGCATATTCTCAGAAGAATAATTAGAATAGTTCAGGAACACTATAAAGTATAAATATCATGTGTTCACAGGAAACATTAACAAATTATTTTCAGACAGTTCAGCTGCTAGGAGGAACACAAGTCACACTGAAAATCAAAGTATTTGGAAACATCTGAAACTCCCAGCCCTTGAGTCTAGTTCTAGCTGTACCACAGCCTTTTTATGAGACCTTGGTCAAATCACTTCAATGAAATTCACACTACGATTTATTTTGGAATATTACCATAATAAATCATATCAAGCAAACTTGTTTGAAATAGATCTTGCTGTATTTACTGTGTCTTAAGGGGTTAACTGTGCACACAATATACACAACAGCTCAGGGCATCACTGTGTTTTAATTAATACTTTTGTACATACTCCACACTGAAAAAAATACAAATAGCTGAATGTGCGAGCCATTTCCTCGGTAGAGAAGGCAGGCAAGGCTCCCATGCTCTGCTAGTATATGGCAAAAATGAGATGTTTAGCAGCACTTTAAACACATCCAGTGGCTATCAGTGACCAACCTCCCCCCCGTCACCGCATATGTACTTGATTCTTCAACTACTGCAAACCAGGTTACTCCACAGTGCACCAAGTTCTCATGGTACTGTGCATGGTAGCAACAGCAGAAACTAACCTAATTCTGATAATCAACCCCACTTTTAAAATGTACTGATGTAAACTATGTATTCTGAGCCAAAGCCAAATGGTCTTAAACCGTTTGGGAATGACTTAGTCATGAGCTATGTACATTTGAATTAAGCCAAACATAACATAGAACCCTACATGGATACAAAATTGGTGTCTCCAAAAAGTAAGCTACCGATCCCCATCTACATCTGTGGATATTTGCAAACATACAGGGTTCTAGATACAAAATGTGTATCAGCATCTGCAAAAGTAAGCCCTGGATATCCTGGATTTGCAAGGTTTTACCTATAACCATCTTTATTGTAAAATATTTCCTATGGATGATGCTGACCAACAGTTTAAGACTGCAATTAGTGGACCATTTCAGATAAAATTCCTCCAATGCTCACACATGCTTTTGTATCTCAATATTAAAAAAAAATAACCCTGAAGAGCTTAAAGCTAAACACAGCCTTTCTGTAAGGAACAGCCAGTTGGAGAGAAGGAGGCAGCGAAATACAGGGGATAACAAAAATTGACTATTCAAAGTCACTGGCAGACAACTAGCTGTGATGAGAAATATAAAAATGTGACATGGAGCTATTGGCCTGACTCCTTAAATGTGGTGGTTTTAAAAGCATTGTGTGTTACATATGGTAAAGACATTCTCCTCCAAAATTGTGTTAGAATGACTTAACCAGGGGTTAGACAGAGTCACTGAAAGGAAGCGTGATGAATTTAAATTCCCAGGCTTCTGCTCCAAGCATTATCACACATTCTCTTAGCTCCACTAAATAACCAATTTCCCCCACTGGTCTGCCATCTTTGATTATGAGTTTGGTCCCCCCATGGAGAGAAAGAATCTTGTCTCAGGATGAGTCAGCTGAGGAGCTTTAGCTGGGCTGAGGCATGTTTTTTTCCCCCTTGTATTTTCAAAATGTTGGCCCAGACCACTGGGATTAAATAGTCACCCGAATCACAGTTTCCACTTTATTTGTAATCTGGCACAATTGTGAGGTAATTGCACATATTCAATATCTGCACACTGTTTATTTAGGAAATAGCACTTAGGTTTACATTAACTTTTTAAATACTTGAAGTGAGTCTTGTCCTACAGAAATGAAATGAGGTATTTACACATTTCCCCTCAATGCCCCCCATGTTCTGGTATTACATCAGAAAATGTTATAAGCGGTAATTGAATAAGATTCAGTTTTGGACAACTTGTGTAACAAAACTGACAGACAGGAAAACAGTAAAAACAAGACAAATAGCAACATTTTATTGTGGGGCAATCAACACTGAAACTAAAGCTATGTGAATGCTCATCATGCTTTTTTACATACATTTTTCTTTTACCAACAGGAGGACATAGCTTAATACTCCGTAGCAATGTTTATAACATTTCAAAAGCAAAACATTCACGAAAGGACACACTTGTGTATGAGTCTCTCAGAGCAAAAATACAACTAACCTCACTCCAGTTTGAATCATCTGGTAAATTTGCTGCAAACTATGATATTGGTCTGTCTGCACCTTTGCTTTTTGGAATTTTGGGTTATGAAAAGTGGCCTCTTGACATGGTTCAACTTTGTACTTGTGAGGGACCAAATTCCAAAACTCCCCCCTGTATCTCACATCTTCAATTAGGTGAGAGACTACATTAAAAAAGGATTCCTCCCCACTACCTTCTTCCCACAAAGGCAGAAGCAGCGTAGAATTGAAGGGAAGCATCACAACCACAGTGTTGGAGAACAGATAAATGCTATATATAACAATCTACTGGTAGAAATATTCCCCCTCTCCTTCAGAGTCACTTCTCTAAGAACAGGATTATAAAAGTCTTCTAAAGAAACACTTTAGAGAATTACTGCAAAAATAAAAATGTTATCTCCTAGGTCTCAGAATCTGGAGATCAAAAGGTCATGCCTGAAAACAAATTCAGTGATATAATCTATCCAATGGATTTTTGGCCATTAAAGTTTCTACTTTGCCAATTACTGCTGGGCTCAGGAAATAGTTATTGCCAAAGTAAAGTGAGTTTCCATTCTAAGAGAATGTCTACAGCTGCTGCGCTGCAGCTGTACTACAATAAGTAAAGTCTACACTGAAGTGTAGTGTCTATGTTGATAAGAGGGGTTCTGCCATTGAAATAGGTAATCCACTGTCCTGAGAGGTGATACTTTGGTTAACAGAGGATTCTTCTATTGACCTAGTACGATCTACATTTGGTCAGGAGTATTAATCTTTTGCAACCCTGAGAAATGTAGCTATACCAATGTAAGTTGTCAGTGTACACCAGACAAAGGATATTCCAGAAGTAGGAAGACCCTAGCACACATCACCTGAAAACTATAAAAGCTGATCCTCTCTCTTTGCCAGGAAGCTAGGGACAATAAAAAGTTGGCTTGTCATTATTGACTTGTATCTATATAAAACTGTCAAAAGCTCATACCCTTTCCTAAGACCTCTAAACAATAAAAACATGGAAATTCACCAAAGCAAGTGAAGAAGCATCATTCAATACTCAACAGCTCAAGAGAACCTAGCTTATAGTGAAACCAACAACTGCCTTGAAACAAAGCAGCATCAGAACCATGGCACAATTGTGACAGATTGTTACCAATCTGCCTGAGGCGTCAGGGTCATTGGGGTATGACACAGTGACCTCAATAACAGGTTATACCACTACCTACTCACTCCTTTTTATTTCATTCTCCCCATATATAATTTGGCAAAGGTCACCAACACCCATTAATGCCAAAGGCATTTGGACAACGGGAACAAGGAAGGAGCCTAACTAAGACGACAATTCTTTCCATTCCCGTAGCTGAGAAACACAAGAGATCTGCAAAGTGTCAAAGTGAAGCATTGTGGAGTAACTAAATACATAACATTTAGTTGGAGACATGATCCATGCTACCAAGTTTTGTCAGCATAGCTGTATTTATTAGGAGTGTGGAAAGTCTCAAACCCTCAATAAAATAGTTATGCTAGTAAAACCCTCAAGGTAGGTGCAACTATGAGAAATGGAAGACTGCTTTCTTGAACATAGCTAATGACATTTAGGGAGACCAGCAGAAAACAACCAAGAACCCCGCGTACACTGCATTGACATGAAGGAGATGTCGGCTGAGGCACTGTAGCATCGATAGGGCTAGAGTAATTATGAAATATCCTTGACATGTGGGTGAATACAAAATAGATACACAGGTTTGCTTCACACTTGGATAAGGAAGTCCATAGCAGTTGCTCAAATGTCAATTTCAACTGACACAGGTTACAAAATAATTTGATGGCCTGCATTATATCCCAGCTTGAAATGCTTGATAATTAAGCTTGTATTCTTCAGGATGGATCTGGCAACCGAGTCAACAGATGTTATAGTTGTTCCTGTATACTGGACAAAATGTATTATTTCTATTCCGTGGAGAAGATTACATCAGTCCTTCATTCCTCCGTCAAACTACATAGTGTGCTTTAATCACACTTAATTTCTTATTAATATCCTCAGAGGAGGATTGGAGCCCATTCCTCATTTAAAAAAAAAAAAACGTACAATTGATTCTCCTACTCCCACCCATGTGATTTTCTACATTGAATTCCATGCCTGACAGAGTTTAGCTATTACGCCACTTACTGTAGTGCAGCGCTAACTTTGGCTAATCAGAATGATTTTGACCAGGAGCAACAGAAGCTAGGTTTGTTTGTTTTTTTTAAACACAAACTCTCAATGCAGAACCTGGATGAAGTCCATGTGCAAGCAAGAAGGAATGGCTGATTTGAATATAAGGCAGGCCTATTCCCAGCATTCACAAATCACTCTTTTAGTGAGAGAAGTATGCAAGACTGTGCTATAATGCTGAGCTGCACTTCTGCCTGGCCTCTTCCAGTTCTGTGCTTTGAGAAAACGTAGTGCCTAATAGCTCAAAAAAAGGATGTAAGAGGGATCAGAGACCTGTACTGGCTACACAGCAGAGATTAAATAATCTTCTCTCTCTCTCTGATGCATATGAACATTTATGGTTTCTCTGTGACCCTAGCTAATAATGCTGCATCATGCAGGTGGTGTTTTCCATTAACAGGTGAGGAATGATTTTTACACTTCATGTGTGACTCTGAAATCTGACACTACTAATGAAACATGAAGGAATGGACTAAAAGGAAAATTTTGCTCAGAAAATTAAAAAGACTAAAATATTTAAAATAAAACTATTTACCTAAAATAATTATTGCACCAAATGGTACTTAAGACAAGCCTACACAATTTCATGGAAAGAGAAATGAGGAGTCTTAAGTCTGACTAGGAAACCAAGAAGTACTAACCAACTTTAGCGATGAAATCTATGACAAAGGTAGAATGAATTACCCAGAAGTGCCCAGCTTCACAATTTTAGGGCAAAACAAAACAGAATTTTAAATCTCTAGAAAACTGAGGCATCAAAATATTATAGTGCTACTTCTACCTTTCCAAGCTGTCCCAAGAGTTGGACCAGGAACAGAACTCACATACCTTCATTATGTATAATATTTGAACAAACAAACAAAACACCCACACCTTTGCACTCTTGCAGTTTTTTAATCAAACAGATTATACTCTTTAAAGGGCATTTCAGTGTAACAGTGCCTCTTCTATTTCTGATCTCCTGCTATTGCTTTAATTCTTTTTGTAATATTAAGCCATCTCTACAGTTCTTCAGACCTGAACAGAAAAATCATATTTAGGTCTCTGAACAGCAGACAGAGCTTGCGCCATTCTATACTTCTTGATATTGTGCAATGGATAAAAGAGGGCTCTGTCATAGAATTTTAAGCATCCTAGTCCTACATCAGTTAATTCTTTTTATAGCTAAACTAGAAGATCAACTCTCTTCAGTGATTTGACTGCTCTATTCTGGAAGCAATAAGAAAAGTTAATATTTTGATGGCAACCTGAATAGAAAACACTCAAGTTTCCAATTTTAGAAGAAAACCTACAAACAAGCTATATAAACAGATTTCTAAATTACTGATGGTAAAAATCCAGGCACTATTTTATAGCAAAATCTTCACAAGTTGGGGAGGTTCGTTTTTGTAATTACTGTAGATTTTTTGAAGAAGGCATCTGATGCCATCCTACAAAGATTTTCTTATGGATGTTTTAATCCTAGTTTAGCTCCACAGTAGAATTTGTAAACAAAATGTTGACTGTATGCAGCATAGGCCAAATATTCATTTCTTTTTATTACAGTATTTAAAGGTCATGGTTTAAATTTCTTCATTATGTCATTTAATATAAAAAAGCTTTTGGTGTTTTTTTGTTGTTTTGTTTTTACACACACAAAGAATGTAGTGATTTTACTTTTTAAAAAAAGCAGATCAGTTGAGTTTATTTCAGATCTTAGTATACAAACCGAAGCACATGAAAGGTATAAAAATTTACTGTGTGCTATGTATTAAATATCTAGCCACTTATTTTAATGCTCTCCTCTGTAGCTTAAAGTAAGGACGAGAATGGAAACTTATCTAAACTTTTAGTTACTGTAAACAAACTAATACATTGTAGAAATACTACAGTAGTTCTAAAACTTTACAGTTGGACAGCATCATTTACTCTCTCCAAAATCAGTTGGGCTTCAAGTAAGAGTTAACATACCTTAAGAATAAGCTAGCATTCCACAGAGGAAGCTTTACAAAGGGATTAAAGAAAAACAGCACTGAGGAAAAACAACATAATGTAGCAATTTGTAACTAATTTAACACATTTTTAATAATTTCAATTGGTTTGATGGGATTTTGCTGTTCTGTTACCAAAGGTATTTAAAAAAACCTGTTCTGTGAATTGTATAGCCACACTATAACCAGACAAAGGACAAGATAGAAAGCAGCTGGTCTGTTACTATTTGGATACTTAAAAAAAATTATGTTCATTCCCAATGCTGTTCTTGTTGTGGGGGAAATGGCTCATTTGGCACAGTATGAATAAAATATTAAAAAATTGAAAAAAATGTACAGAGTTCTAGTTGTAAGTTAGTAATTACCAGGAGGAGAGCAGGAAAAGTAAATGTCATGGGGGGGATGGGACGACCCTATATGTATAAATCTTTCAGCAATCAATACAACTGAACCTTATATTGGCAGCAAAATACACAAATTAATGTTCATACCATGATTAGATTGCTAGAAGTTTTACCCCAGGTTTTATTGTGCTTTAAACCTCCATGGCCTGCGAGTAAATCTTGACTAAAAAGGCAAGGAGGCCTTAATCAACACTTTCCACATTGTATAATTTTCCTTTCAAATGTAAATTGCCAGTGCAGATATTTAAAGGTATGAGAAGTCTTGTAAACTCTGGCTGCATTCCCGCAGTCTGTACCAGTTGCTCATTGCGAGCAATACTTTCTCCTCACTTTTATACAGCAGTTCTTTAAACTGTGGTATCACCAAAGTCCTTGTTCCAGCGAATATATGCATCCAGGGTCTGAGGACTCAAACTGCGCTTTATCTTCTTCAAAGACTCTGTGAAATCTGTCAATCTGATATTCCTCATCTACACAAAAAATGAAAGGTATTTTAAGACCATGAATATGCCATGTGCTTACTCAAATGAAGACTTTGGATTTTACTTTCAGAACACTACAAATATACATGCTTGTTAAAATTTGGATTTGAGTAGCTACAATAGAATTAGAATACAATGAAGACCACAAGTAATTAAAAAAAATCTGACAACATTTAAGTCTCTTATGATCTAAAAAAGTGAAATATTACTAGTTTCTATTCAACTAGATGGTGCTAGTCAATGCATGTGATGGACTTGTGCTCAGAGCAGGAGGACCTTGTTCATAATGTTGTCTTTTCACAGATAACAGGATTAAAATGTCTTCTCACTAGGGATGTTAAATTTAGATTAATTGGCTAATCGAATAGTCGATGCAATTTGCTGCAGGGAGCACAGGCCAGCAGGGGCTCAAGCAATTCCCACTGGCCCTGTGCTCCCCATGACGGCAACACCACGTAGAGCCCGGGATCACTCCCCATGCAGTGCTGCTGTGGGGAGCCCAACATCAGGCACTGCACAGTGTTTCAAAGTGGCAGCGCCCTGTGGAGCCCACAGTCTGGCCCTGGGCTCCACATGGCGCTGCTGCTTTAAAGCACCCCATCCCCTTCCCCCACTTGCTGCCTTTTTCTGATAGAGGCAGAAGAGAGGGGGGAGCAACTATTTGACTAGTGTGTTGACTATCTGATAAGCATTTGCTTACTGGATAGTCGACTAGTCATTCACATCCCTACTTCTCATACAGTGGTGTTTTATTGTAAAATGCCCCCAGTCCACAGAAGACATGCACCAAAAGTATATACTCTTACTCTCCAAAATTATATTCATATGTAACTTTAGCATATTGTTCTTTTGATTCCTTAGAGCAGTCTGGCTATGCAAGAATTACATGCTAAGAACCGGGAGGGAGAAGCTAATTCAAGGAAGGGTGAAATAACCAAGGAAAAAATTCCAGATTGTCAAACGAACAAGAACAGTTTCTACACCTTTCACACCTTGGGAGGCTGAGAAAGCCTCCCAACAAGTCACTAAGACTGTCTAAACTGCTCTGCAGTTTGGATTACACAAACTGAAAGACTCTTCATTTGCATTAGCATAGTTCTCTTTAAAAAGGACTTTGTTAAAGGAGAGCTAGGAACTTTTTAGTTCACACCTGCAGCATCTACCTGGGTAGGTTACAGCATAGCACTTCGGTCACACAACTAATCACACCCATACAGACCTCCGGGGAAGCACAAATCCTACACAAACACATACATTACGATCTCAAAAGCTCCACACTTCTTTGGGCCTAGTGTTTGCTGGTGCAGCCAGACGTGCTACAATGACAACAGAAAAAGAAATACCGTGGACTGAGGGAATTGCAGCAATTTGTTTTTTTTATGTACAGTCAAATCCTATGACAATGAGGCTTTTAGCTAGGTGTAGAAAGACTCCACCATCCAAGAATTAATGGCTGGCTGTGTACCATCAACAGAAAACATGAAATACATTGCATTTATATTGGGCTCCTCTGCCTGCTGCTTCTGCTTACCCTGTCAGGCAAATCTTTAAAGACAGAGACAAAGATCACCTTACAAATATAGCAGGATTATGGGAATCCCTTATCAGGGTGAACTCCACGTCTCTTACATGGTCTTCATCCTTTTACAAAAACTTCAATAATAAGGCTGCACTCTGAACAAACAGCTAGACAGGAAATTAAGTTTCTCCCTACTCCTTTCCTGCAATATGCATTGGGCATGCATTTGCTCCACTTTTTCAGGAAGTAGTTGTACACTTGGGGCTTTGATTTGTTCAGTCTTTTTTGCATGCCTTCTGAGATTAGAAAAACATTCACACAAACAACAGCATGGGTACTAGGCGGACATATCACTTAAGCTACTCGTTTGATACTACCTTTCTGTGATGGACACAGAAATGTTATGTATTAATTTAATACTGAGATGCACCAAGTTTGTGACCCCTATGATGAAGTTATTATATATTGGGTTATATGCTCTGCTCTAGCTTCATAAGGGACTGTGGAAATATAAGCAGAGAAGAAACATAATGGATTTCGATTGTCAATCTTCCAAAAAACATTGGAGGCCATTACAGGACAATGGTCTACTTCTAGGCTGAATCATAGAGTACTAGGACTGGAAGGGACCTTGAGAGGTCCTTGAGTCCAGTCCCCCACCCTCATGGCAGGACTCAGTACTATCTAGCAATATAGCTGTTTTGCCAGGCTGGAAGGTAGAGATTAAGAAAACGCTAAATAACACTAACTTTCTCGGGAAAGAAGGGTGTGTGGAGGGACAGGATTAATAAATCAGGAGATGGGAAAGGAGACTGAGGAGGAGTCCAAAGTTGGGCCTTTTCCCAGATGCTGGAAATGGTAAGCCAAAAGGCAGTCACTTATATACGCTGGTATAAGACTAAGATGTATTATTATAGTAATGGACCAGGATTCCACTGTGCTAAGCACCGTACAAACACAACAGCTCCAACCCTAAAGAACTTACAGTTCAGACACAGTTTACATACTTTTTTTGAAAAACTAATCTATTTATGAAATACACGCTTTTCAGCTACTTTGAATAGTTTAAGGTTTAAGCCTGAAGTTGGTTTCAACACATGTGTTCTCTGCTGGTGGGCACTGTAGATGCACTGAAGTTTGACCCAAGTCAAATTCTACATGCATTCTCCAGAAGCACAGGTTACATGGAGTGATAATATATTGCACCTAGTATCTTGAAGAGGAAAAAAAAGTTTCTCTTCCCATCTTCACCACTAATACGAGTCAAATTGTGCCCACCCTTGTTACCTCCCATCCATTCCTACTAAAGCTCTGGGGAGTAAGTTCGCACAAAACTTGACACTACCTCAATTATTGTTATATACACTTATTCTCAACATGGATCTTACGAGCTTCTTACCATAATGCCAAAGACATTCATATTGATATTTAAAAAAAATATATTACTATTCAGCATTTTATATTTGCAAATACAATTTTGTTAGTAATAAAATTCATTTCCCAGACCTGAAAAAACCAGCTCTGTAAGCACAAAAGTCTCTCTCTCTCATACACCTATGTATGTACGTACGTACGTACGTACGTATGTATGTATGTATGTATGTATGTATGAAGAGAAGATTTAAAAATCAACGTTACCATGCCCACTTTGTCTTTTTATATATGCAGTGTTGTTGTAGCCATGTTGGTCCCAGCATACTAAAAGTCACTTTAGCCTTTCAAAGGAAATGGAAGGGGAGGAAATCCTAGGACTCCATGTTACCAATATTTTTAAGAGAGATCTTTTCTCTTAACTCAAACAAGGAATTTTTTTAAAATTAGGGAAAAATGTTTTTACAATAATTTAGACACATGTATATATGTCCACCCAGACGGAATAGTCATGTTACTGCAGCTTACCTCGCTGGCAGACATATTCTTCACCTGTTCTGGTTTTAGCTCTGTTTAGAAAAAAAATAAAGACACACGAGCAATGAGTTTCACACAAAAGACATCAAGAATTTTAATGCCTAAAACATTTTATGTTCAATTCTACATTGATAAGCGATTAAAATCGGTATTGGCACCTTGCAATGCAACATGCCTACTCCTTGTATATTCTGAGTGGGAGCGCTTAGGTGACTACATTTTTATTGCTTTTCACTCCTCTTAGCCCTGGCACAGCCAACACAGCTGAGAGTATGAAATGATTCCATTTCTCTCTGCGAATGAACAGAATTATTTAAGTTCAAGACAGTGAAATGAGTTTGCACAAAGTTTAAAAGTAATGATTCTATAGAGGTCTTCAAATAACCACCTCATTGACAACAGATTACAGACTACAGTGTAACAGAGAACTTTCAGTTACTCTGCATAAGATTTCCTACTAGAAGGATATAAAAATTGTAGTTTGTAGAGCTGGCATTTAGAAGGAGAATTTTTTTTAAATTTCACATTTGAGACAGAAGCCAGAAAGGAGAAGGAGAAAACACTGAACCCCCACAATGCAATTTTTATGGGCTATTCTCAAATAAGTACATGCTCAACATGAACATTTTATATTATAACATTTTATCTGTACACAACTTTTAAGTGTAAGCACGGGTTTCCATCTTACTGGAGAAAAAGAACATATGATGGCTCTGAGACAGCCACTTTTAATACAATAATGTTCCCTAGTTTTCATGCAGTTTAGTAGACCTGTGATTCCCCAAGTCTAATCACACTGATAAACAACAGCTGATTAAAAGAAACTACTGAAAAGAAAGTTTCTTCCCAGCAACTGGAGTTCAGAATATTTACAGATTCACATGCTAGAATTTGTGCTCTGTGCTTCAAACCCATGAATCACTTCAAAACAGCTTACTATTGGGGAGGGGGGGGGGGGGGGGGGGGCCTTTGGCACCTCAACCTATAGAGACATAAAATTGAGTTACAGAAGGACCACATCCTCCAATTGCCCTCAGTTCTTTGCCGTTCTGAAAGACTCCAAAGTGAAGAGGAGAGTGTGTAAGCGTGGCGCACACGGGCAATATATTTGGATACTTAAATTACCATTAGCCATCACTTCATAAAATTGTCTCTGCTGACCCCCCCCAATCTAGCAGATTAGCTACAGTAGCAATACCTAGAAGAACTGAGTAGCTTAACGGTAACTGAAAGGCTGCTTTTCTGACACAAGCCTCCAATTTGGCTCCAGCATTGAGAGTGAGCAGTGCTAAGTTAAGTGTTGTTTCAAATAAAAATTTTAAAAAGAGGAATGTTAAAAGATAGGACAGTGTGGCAGGCCTTACTTGATTGTGTTCATGTAATTCCATCACTGAACCTGCAAATGGTCCTAACAACTGAAAGCCAGTTTTCATACATGCAGATAAGATTAGACAATTCCCCTATGGCATTTCCTTCTGAAGACTACAAACAACCAATGATCAACAACTTTTTAGACATTCAATTTATGAAGTAGGTGAAGACTATTCTCCAATACAGACTGCTATGAGGGATATGATCTAGTTAAGATGGAATTGACACTAATTTGGGAGACATGCAATTCCATGAGTGAAGACAAAAATTGAAACATTTTTATCACCTATAAATATCAAATGGTTTATAATGACATTTTGAAAAGCACCAAAAAGCAATGCTACAGTGTCTTAGCATTACAAGACTCAGGATTTATTCTGGTTAATTTTGGAGATTGGGGAGAGATGGACAAATGACTAAGATGACCCAGCATCTCAATTTCCTGTAGAGGTTTTAAAATAATAAAAACGCACTAAAGGAAAAGCCACATTACTTACCTCGAATAGGGCCCAGTGCTGCATCCTTTGCTAATGCAGTTAAGTCACTTCCTGAGTATCCATCTGTCATTCTTTTACAGGGGGAGAAGAGAAGGACAGAAAAACAAAACAAAACTGTGAAATGCATCTTAATACATGCACATCACCAAAAAGTGAAATAGTATTTCCCTTCAGATTAGATAACAAATTGCTCAGCATAATTAGTAAATGACACAAATGTTACTTAGAACACATTTCTCAACTGAAAACACTTTAATGCATCAAGTTTAATATCAATATTAAATGTAAGTAGCATTCTAAGCAATCAAAGTCTAGCAGCTAAAATCTATTGCTGACAACCATTATAAAACACTCACTCACTTATAAATGCAATTGTTTTTCTTCAAACAACCCACTAGATAGCACTTTCTACTCTCAAATACTTGCCTAGGACTGTCCCGATACAGTTGCTGGGGCTTCTTCATATCACAATGACTAGATTCTAATGGCAAATACTTTGTGTTGTGCTTCTACCCCATGACCAATTTCTTTGGTGATCCAGTCTACAGCAGAACCTCAGAGTTACGAACACCAGTTACAAACTGACCGGTCAACCACACCCCTCATTGGAACCAGAAGTACAAAATCAGGCAGCAGCAGAGAGAGAGAAAAAAAGGAAGAGACAGCAAATACATTTGACAAGACCAAGAAACCGTTCCTGTGCTTCATTTAAATTAAGATTGCTAAAAAGCAGCATTTTTCTTCTACATAATAAAGTTTCAAAGCTGTATTATATCCACTGTAAACTTTTCAAAGACCAACCATAATATTCTGTTCAGAGTTACAAACATTTCAGAGTTACGAATAACCTTCATTTCAGTATTCGTAACTGAGATTCTACTGTACTTTGGGGATTGCTGCAGCAATCTCACTCAGATCAAACTTGAAAAACATGGTAAGAACTGAAAGAAATCTTTACATTTTTCAAAAAATGTAGAGTTCCTGTTAGGGCTCTTCTTACATTGTAAGAAGTTTTCCATTAAAACTCACAACCTTTTGTTAATACAACAGGCACACACAGTAAGTATACATTTATTATTGAAAAATTGCATTTTCAAAATAGTCACCAAAAATATTTGCCTACTACTTCGAACTAGAGTGGCTAATGTAGGCATTCGAACTTGCAAATGAGGAATAACGGTAGTTCGAATTAGGAGCTTTAATTCGAACTACTTAGTCCGTGCCGCGTGTAGCCGTGGGCAGGGAGTTTGAACTACGGGCATTTAAAAATGGCGGCGCCCAGGAACATGCAAATAAAGCCTGGGATATTTAAATCCCAGGCTTCATTTGCAAGTTCGAATGCCTACATTAGCCACTCTAGTTCGAAGTAGGGTGGCAGTGTAGACATACTCTTATAGTTTTATTCTGCTGCTTATTATGGTAGTGTCTGAATGTCTTCTATGTAAAAGCCAATAGCAGAGTCCCTAGTAGACTCCATGAAGAACAGATATTTCTTCCTTTTGGGGAGAAAAAAAATATTAGGTAGGGGGTTTTGCTTTTTTATTTAATCTTTTTTTAGTTGGTAGGGGTGTCAGACAGAAAGTGGTGTCAGCACTGAGTCGGTCAGTCTTAGGGTGATAAGGCTTTTCCTGAGAGGAAGATTTTGCAGCATTTCCTGAGAACAGTCATACTCTGGGCTCACCTGATTTTCTCTGGAAGTTTGTTCGACAGTTGGATCCCTCCCATCAATAATGCTTTATCCCAAACACTCATAGGCTTTGTAATCTGAATTCTGACAGAAGTACAGCTATCTCTGTAGTTTACTGATTGAAATGTGGTCTGTAATACATCTTGACACTGATCCATTAACTGCTTTGAAAAGGAGGACCAAAGCCTTAAACTAGTATCAAAAGCTAACTAGCAAACAGAGGAGGGACTTCAATCCAGGCTTGACATGCTCATAGCAGCCTAAGCCACAAAGGCAGTGGGCAGCTGAAGCCTGTGGATTGTCTTCATAATGAGTTACCATAATTCAGCCTGCAGGTGACAAATGCATAGATTACAAGAAGCTGGTCCTTTTCTGGGCATAACAAATAATGTCCCTAATAAACTGGAGATTTAAAAGGGTACCAGTGCCACCCAGACATCCAAGCCTAATGTGGCAAAACAAACCAAGCTTGAGCTTTTGCACCAATGGAGATGATATGCTTTCTAAGCATGATGGAGACAATGTTTAGGATAACGCTTCAGAAGTTTTTTCATTTTTTGACCACCAAGACCAAAACGATGCCCAGCTTGAGCCAATTGCTCTTCATTCTCAAGCCAATTTCTTCGAGGTGTTCTGAAATTTTAGTAATGGTGGTGGTTGCATCAGTTAAAAAGGAGATATGTAGGAGAGTGTAATCAGAATACTTTCAGCAGTTGAGGCCTTGGCAATTCAATCTCTTGCCATGGTCTTACATAGATGCCAGAGAGTAGGAAAGAGAATATGGATACCTCTGTGATCCCACATGTGGGAGCAGATGAAGAGGATAAGCAATTACTCAATCACCACTCCAAGTTCTGCTGGAGAGGAATAACTAAGCCACTGTAGTGCTGAGCCATCCAATTCCTGTTATGCATGACATGTCTAAGTACTTTAGAAGTGAACTGCAAAGCAAGACAAATCATGTCCTTAATTGCTCATTTAAGAAATAAGGTAGGTTTTTTTTCCTCCTAAGTACAGTGAAGTCAACATCGCTTTCAATCTCCAGTCAGGGCTAGGAGAGGTATATATCAGGCTTTAGCTTCATTCTCCCATTTAACCATACAGGTGTTAAAAAGTTTGCTGAAGTCCTCTATGAAAGAAAGAGGGGAAAAACCAGGACTGTTTTCCCCTATGTGAAAAACAAGTAGTAAAAATAATTTTCAACACTGAAAAGGAGCAGTAAGAATACTAACTTTTTGGCTGTATGTTGCACCTCAAAAGCAGCCATTAGAAATTGTCAAGAGAGACAATAATGGCCCAGTAAGGGAGCTAGTTCATCCAATTTTCTGGAGGTCCCATGCCCAACTGCAATTTCTGTCTGAGGGAGGAAGAGGATTTAATAAAATAACAAAGGACTAAAGAGTAGGATAAATCTCAGTTTCTTGCTAAACAAGGCAATGTGGAAAGTCAGTCAAGTGAGCATCTTTAATACAGAAAGGGATAGTACAAATAATTTTTGAAAAGTTGTGCTTAATGATGTTTGTATGTTTGCAGGTAGAATCTACAGTCAGCACCATTTTTTGCAACCCCATTTTTTGCTTCAGTTAGTGTATCTGATATGGCTGAAGATGGTTTCTGCAAGTGTGAATTAGGAGGACAATACTGCAGATACAAACAGGCTGACAGTTCTAGCCTGCTGCACATGGGTGCATATGCCCCTCACACAAAAGAGACGACGACTCAAAGTTACACTATTGAAATACTTGATGCCCTGCACCTCCCTTGGTTTTCGCCCCTTTACCAAACAGATTCTTTAGTACCTCAGAAATATGGCATTAGAGCAAGGAATATTTTATTTTCTTCTCTGCCTCCTAAAAAGCATTTGTAATGGGGTACTTAACCTCGGGAGGGGGGGGGGGAAGGAGGGAGAGGAGGTAAGCGCATGGTATCACAAGGAATTTTTAGGTATTTTTCAATGCAAGTTTAAAACATTCAAAACAGCAAAACTATGGGAAAGGCTCTTCAATTATGGAATTATTGCTATTCCGTGTTTAAAATTTCAGTTTTGCCAACCCCGAGAATGCACAAGCCAGAAAAAGGCAAAACAAAAACCAATGAAATTTGTTTTCAATCTGAAATGCATATGAAATGCAGAGCAGGTGTTCTCTTTAGTCAGCTAAGAAAGATGAGGCTTGCCTACAGGCAGAGTGGGAAGAAGCCTGCCTTTCTTTCCTGTCTCCGTACTCTTGGCAGGGTGCTAATCAACATGTCTCAACAGAAGAGCTAGATGGTGAGAAAACAGTGTTAACAGTACTCACATAGCCTGATCAGGAAAAAACCATGTATTTTTCATAACTTCAAAGGTGTGTGCAACTCTCTTAAAGAATTACACCTAAAAAGGGACATAAGAGGCAGTTTTATAAATGTATTAGGAACAAAAGAAAGATGAAGGAAGCTGTAGGTCCTCTATTTAGAAGGAAAGAAGACCTAACAATGGATAAGGTTTAAGAAAGCTGAGGTTTTTAAAATGCCTATTTTGAAACAGCCTTCACTAAAAAGGTAAACTGTCACCAGTTTGTTGTTAATATTAATTGATATTAAACAAGTAGAGTGAATGATGGCCAAAGTAAGGAAGGACCAGGTTTAGAGAATATTTACATAAGCTAAATGTAGTCAAGTCAGCACTTCCTGATGAAATTCACCTTACTTAAGCAACTAGCTGAACCAGTCTTGGAACTAATAGCTATTATCTGTGAGAACTCCTGGAGGATGGGTGGAGAAGGGGAGGAGGGCGGGGAATGTAGTACAGGTTGGACCTCCCTGGTGCAGCACCTTCGGGACCTGACTAGTCCCAAAGGAGGGAGTTTGCCAAACCAGGGGGGATCGGCCCCTCTACTAATATTGGGTTCTTCCACAGTCTGCCCTGGCCCCACCAGGGCTCTCTGGTCCAGCAACATCCATGGTCTTGCTGGACCAGAGATGTTCAACCTGTACTCATCTCTCTCCTCCTTCCCCCCTCTCCCCTCTCCTCCCCGGCTCCCCCCAAAAAAGGGGTAAAAAGATTCGGGGAACTACTGACCAACAGCTCAACTTCACTACCTGGAGAGATGTAATTAACACATTAATTACAATGTACCTTATATACAAATGTAAAGAGTATGCTAGAGCATATAAATAGTCTTGAAAGGATTAGATTTTTATTGGTAAATGCTGGTAAAATATCTATTTTAATCACACAACATTTCCATTGATAATCAACATTTACAGTTGCCAAAGAAAAGTGATGCGTGATAAATCTGAGTTTGCTCAGGGATATTTCAGATCTTTTGTGGTGTTAACAATGTGTGTTTTAACTGTTATAAAGATTTAACTTTATGCAACTCAACATGTACTGTCTTTAATTAAATTTCTGACCCTCCTACAAAAAGTTTCTGTGAAAACAACTGTGAAAATGTAATTTGATTAAAGACATATTATCTAGATATTTAAAAAAAAAAAAATCAAATTCTGCTAAGTCTATACTTAAATAATAGCTAACATAGCTTTGTCAAGAACAAATCATGCCAAACCAACCTAATTTCCTTCTTTGGCAGGGATACTGGCCTACTTAATAGGGCAGAAGCTGTAGACTTGATTTTTGTAAGGCATTTGATATCATCCCACATAACATTCTTATAAGCAAACTCATAAAAGCACATTAGGAAAATGTGTTCTAGATAAAATTATTGTAAGGTGGATGCAGAACTGGTTAAAAGGAGTTATCAATGGTTCACTGTCAAACTAGAGAGGATCCACTTATTGCGGTAACACTGGGGGTCTATTCGGGATTCTTATTTAATGTTTTCATTAATGACTTTGATAATGAGTGATAAATACACTTACAAGATTTATAGATTGCAAGATGTAAAGAGCTGCACGCAGTTTAGAAGACAGGAATAGAATTAAAAATGGACTAAAATTGGAAAAGATGAAAGTCAATAGACAAATGGAAAGTATTTCATTTAGAAAGTAAAATCAAATGCACAACTACAAAATTGAGACTAACTGGCTAACTGATAGTACTGCTGAAGAGGATCTGGGGTTATCAAGGGAACAAAATAAGACAACGTGATGAAATTGTGGGAAAGGGTCATATAGTTCTGAGGTGTATCAATAGGCACATCAAGTACTTAACACACAGAAAGTTATTATCCTGCTCTATTCAGCATTGATGAAGCTTCATCTACAAGACGGTGTCCAAGGATGCCACATTTTAAGAAAGTGGATAAACTGGAGTGTGTCCAGAGAAGTTCAACAAAAGCCATAAAAGGTTTTGAAAACCCATCCTAGGAGGCCAAGTTAAAAAGACTGGCATGTACAATCTGCAGAAAAAACCTAGGGGGAAAACAGATACCCGTCAACAAAAGTGCTGCTATTATAAAGAGTAAATGTGGAGAAGAATTTATCGTCTTCCTGAAGGTAGAACAAAAAAAATCTATTTAATATGTGGCAAGAAAGATTTAGGCTAGATACTAAAATGAGCAAGTTTTTCCTCAAGATTTAGTTAGGATTTAGTTGGGATTGGTCCTGCCTTGGGTAGGAGGCTGGACTTGATGACCTCCTGAGGTCTCTTCCAGCTCTATGATTCTAAAGACAGCTAAGCATGGGAATAGGCTTCCAAGGAAAACCATAAATCCTCATCATTTGAGATTTTTACGAACAAGGTGAACAAATACATGTCAGGAATGGTCTAGGTCAGAGGTCTCCAGCCTTTTTAAGCATGAGATCGCTTTTTGAATTCAAGTGCAATCCAAGATCTACCTCAGACCCAAATACCCTTGCCCCGCCTCCTTTGTGCCCCTTCTTTGAGGTTCCTCCCCCATCCTCTCTCCCTTTCACCGGGCTGGGGCAGAGGGTTGGGGTGCAGGCTCTGGTCTTGGGCCAAGGGGTTCACAGTGCGAGAGGGGACGCCCTGAAGGTAGGGAGGTGGGGTGGGTTCTGGCATGGCCTAGGGCATTTGCCTGGGGAGCATAGGGTTGGGGGCTTGAGTCCCTCCCCCCTCCGACCACCCTGGGAGTGACCAAACAGCCAATACAGTACAGCACAGGTACACTCCCCAGTGCGCTCTCCAGGCAAATAACCCCACAGCCTCTATTGGCCACGGTTCTCTGTTACTGATCACTGGGAGCTGCAGGTCTGGTGTCCGCTGGCAAGGACAGCACATGGAGACTCCCTGCTTTGCCTCTCTCAGGGGCTGCAGGGACATGCCAGCCGCTTCCGGGAGCACAATTACCACAGGGATAATTACCCCAGACATGCCAGGTTGGGCATTTTAGAACTCCCTACGCAGAGAATTAAGTGTAAAGTTATGAAATGCACAGACCAGTCAAAACCCAACAACGACCCACTTTGCAAGCAGTAAAAGTAGGAACAAAACCCCATGTACATGTTGGGAGGGAAGGACAGTGTGTGTTTGAGAGAATGACAGAAACAGTGTGAGAGTGACAGATTTGCATTGACAAGCTCCCTCCATCCCCTTCTCTCTGTGTGGTGACGGGGTACAGGAGTAGGAGGAGGAGGGACACCCTGACATCAGCGCCCTCTCTCTTCTCCCTCCTACACCCTGCACAACAAGCAGGAGGCTCCCAGGGGGGCAGCTCCAAGGCAGAAGGCAGAGGGCAGGAGCAGCATGACAGTGGGTGGAGAGGCAACTGAGGTGCCAGCACTTGATAGCTTCCTGACTGGTTTGGCCAGGATCACCTGTCAGAGGCTCCAAGATCTACTGGTAGATCCTGATCTACTGGTTGGTGACCACTGGTCTAGGTATACTCTGCCTCAGTGCAGAGGGCTGGACTAGATGACCTCTTGAAGTCCCTTCAGTCCTACATTTCTGCGATTCTAAGTACAAACAAGGTTACAATCTCAGGGTGCCTGATAATTAACATTAGTTCTAAATGTAACCAACAGAGCAGTTAACATAGTGAACCAGCAATATAGTTAGCATGACTATTAAAATCTTACCTGGCTAGCTGTGCCAGCTCTTTTTGGGTCAATGGACTTCCTTGCTTGCTTAAAAGATTTTTTAGTAAAATCAGTCTTGTCTGAAAAGAAACATTTATCAACCGTAAGTTAATGTACAAGAACACAAGAAAAATCTATTTAAGCTATTAGAAGACAACAAAAATATATGGTATGTTTCTGTGAATTCAGAAGTTTGTATGTACGACTGTAGTACTTTTGACTATGGTGTAAATGTCAATGCGGTCTTATAAGGATCATCTGGATTTAATAATCATGAAATTGAGGGTTCTAGAGGTTCCAGACAGGACCTGTACAATCATGACAGCAAAACTAAAACCTTGATCAGACACACTTCTACTGCTGCTAAGATAATGAACAGTGCTAACAATTTGTTTTTATGTTGAAGAACTGTTAAAATTAGACCAAACAATTTTAACCTTTTCCATTGAAGAATGATATCAAACCAAGCACACTTGCTGTTGCAAATATGCAATTTTCTAGGCATATCAAAACATGTCCTTGTCTGTTTCAACAAGACACTGCCTATACAACAGGAAGATGCTCAGAAGTAAGGAGCAGCTACTAGCAGACTTGATTCTAGTAAGTACCTCAAAATGTAACAAATTTAAAATTCACCTGAGTGATATACACTTACCATACTGGCCAAAGTGAATTAGAAAACTACTAAAAGTCACAAAATTCAGTGATTTGCCAAAAGTCTACTAATTACCAGGGCAGATAAGAATCTCTTTTATAGAAAAATATACTAAGAACTCACAGAAAGAAATGCTCACAAGCCACACACTTACCTCCTCATTTGGTAATGATACATACACCCGTTTGGTGAATCGTCTGAAAAAAATAAAGTAACATTTTAATACTTCAGAAAAGCTAGTTAGTAAAAGCAGACAGTTGATAAAAATACACACTTTACACCCTTGCAACCAACACTACCATTGATAGCTTAGTAAGATGAAGGCACAAAACAAAAGTCCATACAGAACAGGCCTGGTTTGAGGCCTGACACCTAGCTAACAACGGACAAAACTTGGTTAATATAAAGCAAAGCTAAGTTGTAAGCAAGAGGCAGGGCCCTGCTCACAGAACTTGACACAAAAAGTAATTGGTAATAGGCCCAGGTGTAGAATACTAATTGGTAATAGGTACCATCTGTAAAACAGTAATTGGTAATGGTCACAAGTTGAAGCACATTCCAAAGGGATAGTTCCACTAGTTTGTTAAAAAAGACCTTAGTACCCACATTCCACAGACACCAATCCAGGTTCCGGAAAGGATCTAAAATGACAACATGATGAATAGCGATGTTCTAATTGACCGATGAGGTGCAGGGTGATGGGTGGTATCTAAGTAGCATCAAAGGGTGGCAACCTGACATGTCAGGAGCAATAACTTGTTTGTACCCGTATATAAAGTGATGTCTTGGAGAGGCAGTCTTTGTCCGACATGGGGCAGTGGGACTTCCCACTGACTGAGTCGGTCCGTTGTTACAGGTACATATGCACAGTGGTTCAGTAGAGTCTATTAACAACTGTTACTCTATATTGCTTAATAATAAACCTGGCTGGGCACCTTCGATCCTTGTCTGATTTGTGGTCTTCGGAGGCTCTCTCGGCATCTGCTATGTTGACTACTTGTGCAAATCAACAAGGAACACGTTTGAGTGCACATGTACACACACCTGACTATTTATCATCACTGATGGAGCAGGAGACCTGTCAGGACACCATGCCGGTAAATCCTGACTACTACAACAGCAAAAAAAATTAAGAAAACTTAGATAGGGAACAGCAAATCTGAAAACCTTGCTCTTGAATGAGGCAGTTGAGTGAGAAATCTCTCCTTCAGTATGGCGTATGTATATTCTTACTTGTAGGCTATTAACAAGTAGTACAACCACTTAGGAAAATGGGCTGAGGGCCAAATACAAATATGGAGTGATACATAAGGTCTGAATGAAATTCCAGGTAGAATGCCTGCAAATTTTAAAGATACAAATGTTATGGACACTCCATTCATGCTGTCTTAGCCTTAATGAAATGAGCCTTGAAACTCTTATGGGAGGAAGGAATGACTTGCTTGTAGAGCTAACAAGTTCATGGGCTACATCTCTGTACAATAAATCTGAATGGTCAAATGCTCCAGATAAGTCCCTCCAAGCTCAGGCTGATAACATCAATCCTTACAAGTGACATAATGAATGAAATGCATCCTTTTAAAACACAATTTCAGAAGATTTGGAGCGTTTGAAACCACTGAGGAGTGTAATTCATGTTCAGAGTAATTTAAAGGAAGCCAGTAAGTCAAATCCACATTCCTCAGTCTAGCATTAAAGATGTATATGGGAGATACAGGTTTAAAAGAGTCGTAAGAATGTGAAACAAGGCCTCAAAGGCCCTGTAACTATTGAGGATACCATGACTCAAAAGAGAAATCCAGTGCAACTTCTATGAAGTGTCTATGGAAGAGATTTTCACCTAAGTGTACCCTTGGACCCAAAGAACACAGACTAGTGACATGAAAAGATCCAATAAGCACTGATGTTCAAGACTATTTCAAGCTGACAGCACTAAAGGACAAGTAACTCTAAGGGAATGCAGAGGCATTTCTTTAAAATAAATTTTAACAAAATACTAAATGCTTATCACCCAACAACTCTAGCAAATTTTAGTCCAATATCATTTGAAAAGTGTGAGATACTTAACTGGGAAACTTGCTATTTATAATTGGAACTAATTTAAGAGCAACTGTGTCTTTTAGTATATATTAGAAGGGGCATAAAGTACATACCTGAGAACAGCATCATCCAACTCCTGTGGCCTGTTAGTTGCTCCCATTACAAGTATTCGGTCCTCTCCAGAAGACTGTACCTATAATATTGTAAAGCAAGAGTAAAACTGAAAACCGAAAACAATGCAATAAGCAGTTAAAAAACCCCAAAAGCACTTCACTTACTGGATGGTGATACTAAATGCTCATTTTTGTGCATGTATTGGTCTGATGTTATCCACATTTTTTTTTTGCCTAGTTTGCAGTTTAAAAAACTGGTATAGTTAAACTCCATCTAAGTTTTCCATAGCAGCATCTGGAGACCAAAACAAGTGCTATGGTTAGGACTGGCAATTAGACTATATGGCCTTGAAGAATTTTTGTATTAAGAATGTGCTCCAGATTAAAAAAATAAATAGTTGTTACGCTACATTTACTATTTTAAACAAAAAGTCTCATTTTACTGTGATTCAGAGTAGTGAAACCATACTGAAACCTACCTAAACCTGAAACAACTCAGGAACTCCCATACCAGATCAGACCAATGATCACTCTAGTCTAGTATCCTAATTGACAGTGGTCATTGCCAAATATTTCAAAAGAAAGTGCCAGAAGACTTAAGTAGATAATTATGCAATAGCCTACCCACAGAGGAATTTTCTTCCAAAGTCTTTCAGTTACGAACTTGAGTTATAACCTGAATCATGAAGGCTCATATCTCTTCCAATTTTTTTATTTATATCTAACTAGGGATGTTTCAATTACTCATATAACTGTTGTCCAGTTCTCTCTTGGAATCCCGCCAACCTCTTGGTTTCAATAATATCTGCCGGCAATGAATTCTACAAGAACATTATGTGAAAGAGTACTTTCTTTCATAAGTTTTAGATTTGCTGCCTCTTAAATTCTGTTTAATATTCCATATTTTTAAAACAAAAGAATAAATGGAAGAACTATCTTCTACCTACCATTAATTTTACATACTTCTATCATGATATCTCTAAATTAGAAAGTGTCCCAATCTTTGCCAGCTCTATTTATGTCAAAGCTTTTCCATGATTTCAACCATTTTCATTGTCTGTCTCTGAACTACTCTGTTGTTTCTGCTCCGTTGTCAAGGTAGAGAATTACAAATAAAACTGAAACCAAGATACCTTACATACGCTGTGTTTTTCAGCAGAACCTATAATCTTGCTTTGTTTGCCATTTTCCATAAATCAAATGACTGTTTACTATAGGGCTGTGTCCAGACTCAGGGTTTTTTTCGGGAAAAGTAGCCTTTTTCCGAAAAAACTTCACCTGCGTGTAGACTGCAGCCGCGTTCTTTCGAAATTAAATCGAAAGAATGCGGCTTTTCTTTCGACGGTGGTAAACCTAATTCCACGAGGAAGAACGCCTTCTTTCGAAAGTGCTCTTTCGAAAGAAGGCGTTCTTGAAAGCAAACCGGCTTTTTAGAAAGAGAGCATCCAGACTCACTGGGTGCTTTCTTTCGAAAAAGCGGCTTGCTTTTTCGAAATTCCGCGTGCAGTCAAGACGCTCTCTTTCGAAAGAGGCTTGCAGTCTAGACATAGCCCAGATGTAAAGCCTCCTTATAATAGTTTCATAGTTGTATACATCAAAAAAATGTAAGTTAATGTTTAGCCAGAATCATCTTTTCCTCCAAGGCCCACATTTCTGAAAGCCCAGGCTCCATTAGAAGGGAAAAATATATCCCTGAACAGCAAAACAGGCAATAGTTATATATAATTTTTGCCACTACTATTTCCATAAATGCATGCTACTAGCAGGTGAGGCCTGTCGCTGACTGAGCAAAGTCATTTTGTGTAGATTACACTTATAGGAAAGTTCAAGCAATTTAATAAAAAATTCTATTACATATATTTATGTGCCTGAAAAAGGGAAGTAAAATAAGTTTTAAATTTGTAGGATTTCAACTTCAAATCTTTATTTTATTGAATAACTGTACAGAGTACATTTGAATCAAACTCAAAGCTTCCATTACTCTTTCAGTAACTAATTTGAATTATCTTGTGATTTGTAATAGTAAAAATTTTCTTTGTATTAAAATGACAGTTGAATAGACGACTCAATTTTAATATTGTTCAAATATTTATGAACTCCACTCATAATAATCATGACTTTTTCCCCATAAATAATTATTTAAACCTTTCACCCAGTATATTCCGCTGTAAAAAGTAATACATTCAGCATTCAGTTACTTTAAGTGGCAGGATTGTTTGTGATTACCTACAGATACCAAGTTTTCCACAAAGTATGACTTTATTGTGCACAAACAAATCCATAAACAAACTCTTTAAAATATATAAGAGATGTAAGTCAGGTGTAGGCCTGATACTGAACCCGAATGTCTCCTCCAACTGCTTAAACTCCCATTAACAGAAGTGCTGGGTTCTTTCTCCTCAACAAGAAATGAATGCTTTCCCTAATAGCTTCTCTACTATAATTCCCACCACTTACCTAATATCTCTTCCCTACCCGCGCAATACTCCCCAGGTCTCCATCACCACCCTCCCTTCTCACAGTCTCAACTCTTCATGGTACTTTATTGGGCCAAAGTAGAAGGTGTTTGCTAAGAAGTATTTTTATTGCTGTTGAAGAAAATAAACGAAGGAATATTTAATTATTAGAGTGCCACTAGTGTATCATTAGCAGCTTTCATTGGCACCCATCACTGTATAACTAATTTAAATAAACAACCAAAAATACTATAACACTGATACTTACACCATCAAATTCTATTAAAAATTCTGTTTTTAGACGCCTACTAGCATCATGTTCACCTTCTCTTCGTTCACATAAAAGGCTATCAACTTCATCTAAAAAGAAAAAGTCTTAGTTTTAGAGTTTCAGTAAAAGTTGAGCTATCTTGCACTTTACCAACCAGAAAGCATAATAAACCAGCATTTCGGAAGGGGTGTGTGCTCCAGTAAGGAGTTAAGGTGAGGGAAGAGGCACAGACAGGATGTTGGGACACAGGAGTAGTTTTGGGGTGCTGAATCCAAGAGCTGCTCACCTTAGGTGGCTCCCCGCAAGTGGCAACATATCCCTGCTACTCCTAGGCAGGTGTGTGGACATGAGGTTCTGTGTGCTGCCTCCCACTAAGTACCACCTTTGCTGCTTTGACTGACTGCAGTGCCCCAAGATAAGCACTGTCTGCATTTAGTGTCCCAATCTCCTGCCTCTCTCACACCAAACACCCTCCCAAAACCCACACACCCCTCATCCTTCTTACACTCAAAACCCTAGCCCTGAGCCCCCTTCCTTTTAGTTAACAGGAATTTTTTGTTTATCAGCACCCCTTATCCCCCCAACGTAACAGATAAATCTTTTACTGTATTTTGCTAGGAAGCAGAGCCAATTAGATAAAACCTACCTTTATTCTTCAGGAGACAAATTTTGCAAAAAAGTTACAAAAATATTTTATGGGTATTAAAAGGCCCAGTGGCAACAATGATCAGCTGTTTGACATCATCAGCTATCTGACAGGAATTTTATATGCATTCTGTCATCTGTGTGTAATAAACCCCAAGTTTCCAAATAAGATGAGAAGGTAAAAAATGCACAACATTCATAGCTCTGTACTTTAGGTTATGTACAAAAATGCTCTAAAATAGAACCTTCACATCCTAGGTATCCTAGGACAATTCTTTTGTTAGTTAAACTTTTCCTAGACTTGATCTAGGGCAGAATGTGGAACACTCTCAAATATCAATTAAGGAACAAGTAATCACTGATGCAGAGAGAACCTCTTATCTTAGGTCTTCCATTATTATTAGCACAACTGAACCTTAAAGACAGCATTTAATCTTTTTTTTAATAAAATACATTTTTTTTTTATAAACTACTAGCCAAAAGGTCTTACCTATAAAAATTATAGATGGCTGAAGTTCCCTGGCTACTGCAAAAAGTGCACGCACCAGTTTCTCTCCTTCACCTACCTAAAAAGGTCAATCATTTTCAAAACAAATATTACAAAATAAACAAGCTTTCCATGACCCATTCCCATGTCACAGATAAGCAAACTACTAATTTGGCATGTAATGGAGAAACAGTCTACGTTTTTCCACACAGAAAAAATGTGAAAACTTGACTAATGATTCTGACTGGAAATATGAAAGGAGTTAGGTACATAAATCTCAAACAAAATTCAAAGCAAGTTCCATTGGAAAAAAAAAAAAAAATCACAGCCTTTATATTTAAATAAAAATATTTCCACAGCACTATGCTCAATATTGAAGACTCACTTTATGAAACTGCTATTTTGTATTTTTTAATATCCAATACACTTCCGTACAATGCATTGTCTCAAGTGCTAATGTCCCCTTGATGAAACATGGAGGAGTTTTGGCTTAACAAGTTCAGTAGACTGAGTTGCATCCTCCCATAGCAGAGCATCCCCAATAAAAATATTTCCACAGCACTATGCTCAATATTGAAGACTCACTTTATGAAACTGCTATTTTGTATTTTTTAATATCCAATACACTTCCGTACAATGCATTGTCTCAAGTGCTAATGTCCCCTTGATGAAACATGGAGGAGTTTTGGCTTAACAAGTTCAGTAGACTGAGTTGCATCCTCCCATAGCAGAGCATCCCCCCACCCCACCCCAGACCCCTCATAGCCCCCCCTTCCGATAGTCCGGCTCTGCCCCAGGCGTCCCAGATTCAGCCGCTGCCGGCAGTTT